GGAGGGGGATGGCTGGTCGGGCCTTGGGGGCCGCGGGGGCCCCCAAACCGTGAAGGGAACAGGCAAGGCTCTGCGCTGGGAGGCCATGACGAGCCCGGGTTTTATAAGAGCGGGGCCATGGGCGGTTACTGCCCCGGAAGAGCATGGGAGTGCCGCTTCTGCGCCGGGGGTCCACGGCATCAACCTTTGCCGGGAGCTTTGATGAGCGGCGTAAAATGGAGCGATGCTTAATGGTTACAGTAAAAATAAATCGTTTGTGTGTCAGGCAAGAGGTGGCGGTAGCCTCAGAATTTCAGGAGTTACTGTGTTTTTGACACAGCGCTAGCGTTTATGCAGCTCTGTTAATTTTGCTGCGTGTTTATAGCAGCTGTAATGAGTATAATGAAAGGTTTTTACAGTCTGCTCAAATAGAGACCTTGGAGAACTTAACCAGCTGTTGCTGGGGGGAGGTATTCCTGCCACTGTGGGGATTTTTTAATGTATTTCCTGTTACAGAGCACATTGGAAGTTTCAGATGATCTTTGATAGACACCTTCATTTATATTTTTTTTTCTACACTTAGTACAGAAAGCTTGCATAAAAGACTTTACAGATTTTGCCTTTCATAGTAGTGAAATAGTAAATTTCAGGACAGTAATAAACTGAAAATGTGGTGAAACATCTGTTTCTTGGGTTCAGTTGAGTTAAATTACCTTTACTGTGTTTGATGAGTCATCTTTCAAGAATAAAGTCTAAAACACAGCTGTGCATTTGCTTTATCTCCCACAACACTTCTTTTTCACCTCTTACATAAAAGAACTTGTATACCTGAAAGTCGAAGAAGATTCGAGACCTCCTCTTAAAAAGGTCAAGTCATCAACATTCGTAATACAGTGATTTGGATGAAGTCAATTCCATTTATGTGCAATATAGAAAATTAGGTGTTTTCTTACCAGGAATTCCTGATGCTGTTTTTGCTGGTACTTTATAACTAGTCTCACCTCATGGTAAAACGCTGGCTTTGTCATGTACCAGTCTGTCCAGTACCTGAAAGCATGAACGTTGCTCTTGCAGTGTATTTCAATGAAGTACAGCCAAGATCTTCACATTGGTTGTTTTTAAAAGGGGAGAAAAAAAAAATCTGTTTTTAATGGCATACTAGCATTTCATCTTTAGATACAGGAAAACTTTTTTAAAACATTTTTGCAGGTAGTAATATGCTTTCTGTGAAGAAATCAGTAATTTCACTCTAAAGACCCCGTGTTCATTAAAATATGTAGAGTCTGCCAACTTTTTTTACCCATGCTTTCCATTTGCTTGAATGTTCCTCTGCAATCTAAGTTGGTTCAACAGCCACTTGGAAATCTAATCAGAAGTAAATTAGAGTTCAGCCTTACATCTTAAGTATTAGAAATATATTTAATTGTGGAACTTTAAAGTGCTAAAGATGGGGTACAAGTTTTCGAAGTACTTACTTGGCTGTTCTAATGCTGCAGTAATTTTTCAGATTCATCCATTGCCATTATGTCTTTATATTTTGACCACTGGATTATGAGTATACTGAAAATGGCTTTGTGGATCAACCTTTGTACTGGATTGGAGATAACTGCTTTTTCTGTTTGTTAGAGAGATTAAAGCACTAAATAAGTAAGCTTTTAAAAGATTGTTTAACATATTCTTTAGACGTGTAAAGCAAAAGAAAGCAAAAAAGCCAAACCCAGAGATACCCACCAGTTCACAAAGAAACAGGCTGTTAGTGTTAAAGTTCCTTTATCCCCCGGGGACATTGAGTTTGCTGTAAAAAGTTCAAGTAACTGTGTTCTTAATTCTCAATTTACCTGAAACTTACATAGTTGAAAATTGTGAGTTTAATAAAAGTGTCAGTGTTTTGTATTCGTTATGGAAAAACTACAAGTAAAGAGTACAAGATACAAGCTGTGTGAAATCCGCCCTCTTATGTAAAAATTTAAACCATTATTTGGTTGAATGGTAACTTACAATAAATATGCTTTCATTACTGTTGACCTTTTTGAATTTATTATGAGCTAAAGCTCTAAAGCACTTTTGCTGCATTTCACTTCACTTTCATTTCTTTTTAGCACTTCATGCTCAGGAGAAGCTTTCACTGAAACCTTTTTGAGTTTCAGCTGAGCACAAAGACCCGAAGAAGTTTCAGTTCTCAATTTGTAGCTTACCGTACTCCTTATATTCTTTGCTGTTACACAGTTCAGTTTATCTTTCAATTAAGACCTTGTTCTTAAGAAGTCAGTTCTCCCTCCTTCCCCCTGTTGTGGGTTAACATTTCATCGAGAATAAAGCGGTGATTCTTTTGGGGTAATATATTTCGAAGCTTCTCTATCTTATTCTAAAGAAGTTCGTACAATATGTGGAATCAAGTTGAATTACGTTTTTAAAGAATGCAGTTTTAAAGAATGCTTTTTGTTCATTCCCCACCCTCCTTGGCATGTGAACATAGTTACCTTTATTTTTCTGTCAAGTTCACACTTATCAGAATGAGGTGTGCTAATCTTATGTACCATGCTTTGCATTTACTTAGAACTTTCCATTTGCAGATCTTCACTGAGTTTATAAAACATTAATGTGCAACGATGAATGCCTTTTCAGTATTATTGAAACTTCACTAAGAGATGGATTGGTGCTTTTGGTAGCTTTGCTACACTGAACTGGAAATTGGAGAATGCAGCCTGGAGTGTCTGAATCCCAACCTCACACACTTGTCACAAAACCTGGTCAGATTATATTGTGTCTCAGTTTTTCTTTAATAATTAAAGTTCAGCGGTTGTTGCCTTGTGTATTTTAAACACAAGAATGTAAGGACGTCTGTAGGCAGTCCCTCTTGAATCCTGTGCCAATGAGCGTACTCCAGTAGAGGCCAGTATTAAATACTAAAGGGAAGAGCATGAGGGCAAGGCAGGCGCAAGGAAATAACTTGCTTGTAATACTTATGTTTTTTACAGCTCTTAATGGATTACTTCTCTTCATTTGCTTTACTTCTTCTGAACCTAACCTTCAGTTTCCACTATGTTCTTAAAGCTAGGAGTTACACAATTTAGCTGTGCATTTGCTTTGTGTTTTAAATCTTTTAGCTTTAATATCTCTGGCTCTGGCACATGAGAAAGTGTAAATGATCTATCTTCACGTTTTTTGGCAGTTTGTGGGTGCATTTTTATAGGTCTTTCACTGTTTCTCTGCTGCCAGCCCATTTACGATTTAACCATCTTCTCGTGGAAGAATCTTGGTCTCTTTAATATTTTCTGATAAACGAGTGGAAAGCCACTGTAAACCTCTCCTCTTTTTTTGTCCTTTTTCTAGTCGTGTGTGTTCTTTTTGAAAGGTGGAGACAAGCACCGCATGTAGCACTCAAGGTATTGAGGTACCACGTGGATTTATAACATAGCGTAATGTTTTCTGCTTGTTCTCTGTTCTGTTAGTAATGATTTTTAATGTTCTCTTTCTTTCTGTAAATGCCGTTGAACAACGCTCGGCTGATATTTTTTTAGAAATATATGTACTAACCCCATAGTCGCTTGTTTGCAGCTAACTTATGGCTTGTCACCATAAATAAATACTTCTGTTGGTTTTGTCCAGGTGCATTACCCTGTACTTATCAGCATTATTTCTTCTGCTGCTTTATCATCTGATCACTGAGATCCAGAGACTTGTCACCTCTCTGTTCACTTCTTTTTCCAGAAAGTTTGTTAATACATTGAACAGATTCATCTTTGGGGGCCTCTGGGACTCTTTGGCCAATCCAGGCACTTTGAAAGCTGATCATTTACTTCTCTTGATTGTTTCCTTTTCTCAAGCTGGTTAGTTATTCATGAGAAGCCTTTTTCCCTTTTTAACCAAAGGCAGCGTTACTTCTTGAAGAGTCTTTGAGAATGATTCTCAGAAGCTTTTTGAAAATCTGAGTATGTCACATTGTCCCTGCACTCTTTGAAGGTATCAGATTTTCCAGGCAGTGCTTTATCTACAAGTGCCACCTTAACACGCACCCATTGTGTTATGTTTATCTGAGTGTCTGCGAACTCTGTTCTTTCCACTTTGCATGGTACAAGGATCATCACAGTATCACAGCTTTTCCCTTTGCAGGAGTAGACTTACTGTGTAATGCACCGACTTTCCCTTGGAACCTTAAGTTAGTGTCCTTCTCTGGTGCTCAGGCTACTTTAGGTGATAAATCCATAGTAACAGAGCAGCAGTTTTGTAAGTCATTTTCTTTACAACTCTTTTAACTGAATACTGTCTGACTTCAGCAATTTGTTTCAAATACGGGGTTTTTGTTTCTGTTTTAAAGTATCTTCTGTTGTCTTTTCATCTTGAGACTTTTTTTTTGACTTGTCACCTGTTAAGAAGTTTTGATATAAACTCTTTTGTGAGTGTACCAACAGAAAAGGGAGAAATAGCTGCTGGTGATTTTTTTAAAGTTTAGTTTGTGGGGGTTTTTTCCTAACTGTTTCTTAAGCTTCTGAGAGTGCCCTTTGCTATAATTTTATCTGTACAGTTCATTGCCTTTATTTATCCATGTTATCTTGTATATATTTCACAGAGACTTTGAAGTTCAGTATGTTCTTTGAACTTTCTCAGATTATTAATTTTTAATATTTCTGTAACCCGTTTAGGTCCTGCTCAGGTTCCAATGATGTCTCCAAATGGTTCAGTGCCTACTATTTATGTGCCTCCTGGATATGCCCCACAGGTATGTCCCTTCATTTGGCTATTATTGTATTTCTTCTCATGCAAATTATGGGAATAGAACCAAAATAGCTCATTCAGTAAATTAATGTGTCACATTTCAAAGTCAAGCAAGTAAATGCAGGGAGATGTCCCATAGTACCTCTGTGATGGGAGACTACTCATGCTATATATGTGCCTGTTTTGTTATATATTAACTGCTTACATGACAGTAACAACCACAGTTCCTTGTTGAGTTCAGGATCCTAATAGACTTGATGCCTTCTGAACATAAAATACAATCATGACCCAAACAGTTCATTTTATAGGACCTGTACTGAATTCTGGGTTAGTGGCACCAATATAATTTTATTTATGTACACAGTTTGTGTGTGGGAATTTCCCTGCAGATAAGGAGTGAAACAGATGGGTTTTTTAAAAGTGTAGCAAACAACGTAGAAAAAAAAAGTTGGCTGTCCACTGGAGATAAATTGTTGTATAATTTGTGTTTACACAACTTATCTTAAAATGGGGCTATGATTTTGGGGCTCTGGTTTTCTGTCCTGCGCGATACCTAATTTAGATGCCTGAAAATTAAATGTGAACTAGATAACCTGGACATCCTATAAAGTAGATTAAAGGAGTGATTCCTCCTGGCTATTTTTGGCACTGGTATTACGACAAGACGTGTGGCCTTCCAGATGGTGTCTCTTCTTTCCCTCAACCATAGAACAAACCTGGGGGTTAGTGGGTCAGACCTGGAAGTTAGAGCAGGTGAATGCCACTCTCCATAATTTAAGTCTTTCTCATGATGTTCTGCTGTTGCGACCAGTCTGCCTCTGACTTAGCATGCACCTCATGGCATACACTGAGAAGAGATTACAACACATAAAATGTAACCAAAAAACGCACGGTGTCCAGCAGATGTTACACAAATTATCTGAACTGCATAAAAAATTGTCCTCTAGCAAAAGACTGTTAGGTTAGGCAGGCGAACGCTGTGTGGTTTTTTTTACCTTTCATCTGTTGAAAGCTGGCTGACAAGTTGATTCGTGTATCCTTCATGGCTGGGTTCCCAAACAGGCAGAAGCAAAATGAATTTAAAATAATCATGGAAGTCCATTTCATTTATCTTTAGGTCATAGTAAAGAGTCTTGATTCCTCTTAGAATTAATTTTTAAAGAAATGAAAGAATTTTTGAGATAAGTGAAATTGTGAATGTTACCATACTTCTTGAGTACTACTTGATGCAGTATTTAATGTTTTAAAAGTTGTGTAACCTGTGTCAATCTGAATAATATTTATAAAAGGAATTCATCCTTCCTTCGAGGATGACTTGCAGCAGACACCTGAAGGACTGGTCCTTGCTGGGGCACACCTGTGGGCCTTTCCTTGGAGCTTGTTAGTGCAGGTGGCGTGCTTACACAGCTCTCTGACTTCTGAACTGAAGGTGGAGTGAGCTCATGTTTGCTGTTTTCATCTGAGTAGAAGTATCATTGTCCAGGAACACCTGTAGTTCATAAGGTTTCTGAAGTATTTACTGATGACAAAACATAGCAGCCACTGTGGTTTATGACGAAAGTTCTGGTTACAAGCCAGATTTGATAGTGGTCTTGCAAGCAGGAAAGTCTAGTGCTATTGAGCTAAGAGTTATCCCAGACTTGATGCAGTCCCAGCAAAGAAACTTGCATGTTTTCTTCAAGCATAGTAATATTTTTAAATGTCAGCAGCGCAGATGTATTTTGATAGAAATTGGAAACCAGCTAAATGTCTAAAGCCATCATTCAGCCTGGAAGAACAACTTCAGCGTAACCATCTTCTGTCTGTCCATTTCCATTTAGTTCTGTTGTGCCTCTGCTTGCTTCAGTTCCTGTTTGGCAGCGATACAGCATGCTGTCCTCTCTTGAAAGTTGGGGATAACTACAGAATAAACGTATTTAGTTCTCTTATGTCACATAAATTAAAAGCAATTCATAAGTTGATTTACTTATCCCTTCCTCTTCTTTTAAAACTGTAGTTCTGAAACTAAAAGAAAACACATCTTTGTTCAATTCTCTCCAAGCTGTTTTAGGATGATATACTTGTCATGGTGCACTTACTGTTTTTTGGAGGGTTTTTGTCTGTGTGGTTGCCTGGTAGAGGCCTGCTGTCGAGTTGATGTTTTATTTAGAGACAGAGTTACAGACTTCTCAAACTCTTGTTTTACACTGTTAAAGTTGAAGTTCCTGCTGCTATGAACTGGGTATATATTTCTGAATTACTTGGGCTATTAGCAGACCCAAGAAAACAAATACATTATAAACTAAGTAGCCTATTTTTCTTATGGCAGATACTTTCTATGCAATCTGAATGTGCTCATAAATTCATGATAAATTGCGGGCTTTTTTGTGTAAGAAAAAAAGACTTAAATAATTTAAACTATGTTTCAGTATTTAGAGAGTTTCATTGGGCAGCAGAAGTTCTAGTCATATTTACTGCTGTTAATAAATCCTGCCTTTAGATAGAACACAGCTATGGTTGCACAGATACGAAGAGTGTAGTCTTTAGTGAAATTGCTCTTTCTCAATAAGGCACAATTTCTGGATACTGAAAATAGCCCCTTTTTTTTTTTTTGAAGTCACGCAGTATGCATGTATTTTAGAGCTGTGTTTGCTTAGGTCATTTATATTAACTTCCAGGACTCTGTTTATGTAAGGTGGGATCAGCTTCATTGTGTACATACTTGTACGTCTTCTGAATGTTACTGCATATGCATAGAGATCTTCGTTCTACCTTCACACTTGAAGCATACAGCTTTGTCTACGTAACTGTCTTTCACAGTACAGTAGTGAAGTTTTGAAACCATTTCCTAGAATGAACTTCACTCACCTTGCATTGGGTCAGCCAGCAGGACAATTTTGGGGTGCACAAATTAAATTGCTGTCAGAGAAAACAAAAGCAGAATCTCCATTCCAGATGTACCAGATGCACACCAACCCCTAATAGAGGCGTGGTAAAGCTAAGGATGGATTCTCCAAGCAGCTTTCTGACACAGACCTGATAGAAGTGTTCACATCAGGGCACAGGACTAAATCTAGCCAGCCATAATACCCTTAAGCTTAAACAGTGGAGTTGAGAGCAGCTTGGCACTAAGTGCTTTTGATCTATTGATCTCCTGTTGCACCAGGTTACTCACTGGTGTGTGTGTACATGTCCCCACCTCATTTCAAATGTCAGTGAAAACTCAGGTCACAGAGTCACTTTGTCCCTTGCTTTTGGATGTAGTCATTATATTCCGATTCCTTTCTTTTTCTCCCCCTTTACTGGATAAATGTTTCTTCCAAAAATTATATTACAGTCCCTGCTGTGGCTTTATTTTACAGCATTTTACTAGGAAGTGGAGAAGAGTTTGTTTGTTGGCATCCCAGACACTAAATCATTTGCACCACTATACATATAAGTCAAATTATGCCAAGATCATCTCTAGATATTACCAACAGTCATGTATTTTTGTGAATTTACCTGTAGTGAAACACACATCTAGAGAGGATCACAATGGCAGTCTTCCCTATGATGTGCTTGTGGGAGGGACTCCTGCTTCTGATCCAGTTGATGACCAACACCCAAGTTGTGAAGGAGTCTTGAGAGGACTGACTACGTTTTTTTGCTTTAACAGCTTCATGCAGACGATGACTGCTGCATGGCAAGAGCAGTATGGCAAGTGCCTCCTGGGTTAGTGTTGGTGGAGTGAGTTGGGCACAGAGCAAAGACCAGACATGGTTGTCCCTTTTCTCTCACCATTTATGTGGAGTGAAGTCTGTCCACCCACCAAATCACTTGTAGGTAGCAACCTAGTTCTTACACTATAGAACAAATACTAGGAGCAGTGTAGCATACAAACAACATGAATGAGGGTGGAAACAGGACCCTGGGGAGAAGTTAGACTCATGCTATAAATATAACTGGGTGTTTATAAAGTGCTGCTACAGTCGGGTTTTTTTATCGGTATTTTTCCCCATTATTGCAGTTAATACACTTGACATAGATGGTCCTTTAATTGTCGTATCTTTTTTTCTTGTGCACTCCTATTTTCTCAAATATAAGGGTTTTACTGTTCCTAGTGTTGTTTTACTGTTCCTAGTGAAGTATCTGTAGAAACATACGTTTCAGACTGTCATTTCTCTTTTGGTGCATGGTGTCTCACTGTACAGGTTATTGAGGATAACGGTGTTCGAAGGGTTGTGGTGGTTCCCCAGGCTCCAGAATTTCATCCTGGTGGTCATGCAGTGATACACAGGCCCCCGCATCCCCCACTGCCGGGCTTTCTTCCTCTTCCAGCCATGATACCCCCTCCACCACGTCACATCTACTCACCCGTGACCGGAGCTAGTGACATGGCAACGCAGTACATTCCACAGTATCACACCTCCCAAGTATATGGGGATCTGGGTAAGTAGCTTACTGAATATTGCAAGTTCTGTCAAAAGAAAGAATGCTTTATTTATGTCCAGCATCTGTTATGCTGATGTATGGGTTTTATCAAGCGAGACTCATAGCTTGAATCAGAGCTATACACAGAAGTTTTATGAGGATACCAGTCTTGTATTTACTGAAGCTTATTACTCCAGAAGAAGTTCTTTTAATTAATTTGACTTGTTGAGTGGATCACTAAATAAACATACAGATTATTTATTATCCATATCAGTACAGATTTGCCCAGGAAAGCAATGCAGGAAGTGTTTGTAGCAATTCAGTTGATACCTTCTCCTGAGATTAAACGTTTTAATCCATACCAGAACACTGTTCCAAAATACCGTGTCTTGCAGGTATCCTGTTCGAAGCTTGAAACAGGAGTTCTTAGTATTGATTGCGGAAAAGAAAATGCTGATTTTGATAAAACTGTATGCATTTAGTCCAATGTCTGTATTGAAGTTCAACTTGAGTAATCATGTACCACCAGGCTAAATTTAATACTGTAGTTGAAGTTGTCTTTGGTAGTGCTATTGACATCTGCCTTTTAATACTGCTTAGTAGCAAAGTGTACGTGTCTACTAACTCAGAGGTTGAGTTCTTAGATTAATATTTACAGTTCTGGTAGACTTGCTTTTCTTTAGATAAACTTGTGCTGTAAAACAGGTGTCGACCTTGAAAGACTTCAGAGAGCAATGCCAGGTTGTTTTTAAAGAAAAAAGATGGAAGCTATGAAGGAGGGAGACAAAACACAGCTTTGACCTGTTACTGTAGATGTTTCTCGGTGTTCTGAGATACTGCGAATGAACGTCCTCCATATAGTCACTGTGCTTAGTCAAAATGTACAAAGCTGTCAGATAAGAGTATACCAATGTCTTCATCTTACTGGATTTCTTAGGGTTTCTGTATTCTCAAGTTGTACTTTATTACTTCCTTGTGCTACTTTGATAACAGTACATTGTTAGATGCTCTTTGAGTGCTTATTTATAGTTTTATTAATTTCTTGGCTCGCTGTAGATGGCAGTTGTTTGCTTTTAGTTTGCTAAATTATTGAGGTATGATAATTAAATGCATAAAAGATAAAGGGTACTTCATTTTGGAATAATATTTTTCATATTTCTGCTGCTACATTATATCCCTTTAAATATGAATTCAGTGATAATTTGCTAAACTGCTAACGTAACAAAAATTATTAAGTGGGATTCTTTGCTCTTGCTTTGTTTTAAATATATATATGTAAGATGCCCTTGGATTTAGGGAATTAGAAGACTGGGGATGCTTTAGTTAGTTTCATATTTGCTACAGATTTAATCTTTAATTCTGGACCACAGACTTTGGCCATGGCTTTGAGAAGTCAAAGGCCACAGTTAGGCTCCTATATGAGGAATCTGAATATAAGGGGGGAGGGAGGGAACCAACCCAGAAGCACTTAGAACATGGTAGTTCTTGAACAGGAGATCCTAAGTCTCTAATGATAGTGAAAATAAAATTTCTAAATAGTCACAGCTTATCTAGTAAGCTATAGTAAGATATCCTCTGCCAAACTTTCAGGGAATTCAGCTGACCTAAAAACACAGAAACTGAAAAATTATCTAGTTTTGTAATTTTATTCTTCTTGCAAGGAAGTTTTTATTTTATCTTGTTTTCTATGCTTCCTAGCATATAAGGAATAACAAATAATGAACTTCATTCTTCAGACCGAATAATCCAATTTACCTGAAAATGGACAAATTCTGTGCTGGTTTTGAAGGATGTGATTTTTTTGAAAGCTTTCATCGTTTATCATAGATAGCGTTACACTGAGGCAGGAGTTGGTGCCATGTGATGTACCCTTTTAAAGAAAGGTGAAGTGGATAAAAACACGAGAATTGGCCATAAGGGTTTTTTTAAGTTGGTCTGGTACCCTCTTTTTTCCAAAGCCTCGTTCTGACTTAGAGATAGGGCTTTGGTGATACTGCAGCAATGTATTGGGTTACTGTGTGCATAGCCTACCCACACTATCTTCAGTCTTTTAGTGTTGTTCGGTTGCCCTGTGCTTCTGTGGGTATTTTCTCTGTTGATTTCTGCTGAAACATCATTAAAGTAACAGAGCTCTAGATGCGTACCAAAACTTAAAACATCTCTATTTTTTATTCAGCGTTAGAGCAAACTTCCTCCCATGTAATAAAGTAATACGTATTTTCTGTGTTGAATTTATCCTGTACCTTACAGCTCAAGGAAAATTACAGAAACATTTTAAGAACAGTTTTTAAGTAGAAAAAAGATGTGGGAAGGAAAGATTACCCTTTGTCCTCTAATGTGTTGTTAATGTTCAATTAGTGTATATTAGTTTACGTGCTGGACACTTCAGTTCTCCAATAGGAGATGTAATTTTACGCACAAGCATGGACTTAATGCACATAGCGTTTTAAAATAGATTTTTTTAATTACATTCTGTTCTTAGTGACTATTTTAAAATTTTTTTCTTCTTTCATTTAGATACTCTGCCTGCTCATGGAAGATCCAACTTTAGAGATGAAAGATCTAGTAAAACATATGAAAGGTTACAAAAAAAATTAAAAGATCGACATGGGACTCAGAAGGATAAGTTAAACAGTCCTCCATCGTCTCCTCAGAAATGTCCTTCTCCTACAAGTGAACATAATGGACTTACAAAGGGACAGGATGCAGCTGGTATAAGCACAGGTTCTACCAAAAGCAAGTCTTTGGGTAAAGGAAAAAGCAATTCTCAGACAGACCCAGAAGTAGAAGGTAGGTGTTAACAAAAATAGTATATACATCTATTATGCAAGCCCAGCATGTGGCTAGGCACAGGACGTTTGTAGGTAGGACACCACACTTTGGCAATATTGAAGTAGTAGTCCATGACTGCCTTTGACTTACATACAATGGAGTTAAGGGCAGTCGACCTGCTCCTCACATTTGAATGATTGGCCTTAGAGAGCAAAACTACTGATGTGCAAGTCTCCATGTAGATTTGAACAAATATTAGTCATACTTTGTATCATTGTTTAAAGAAAAATCTGTGCTTTGTCCAGAGTTGTTCATGCTTAGATTTTGAGGAATATTGATGGCCTGGTTGTTATCGCAGAAAACATGGAAAGAACCCGCTGTCTGATACAGAAAGCCTGTATTCAAGTTGTTAAATAGGAATATTTTGTAAAAGAGATACTGTTATATGAAATTCATGTAATGCCTGTCCCTACCAGCTCATTATTGAAAGGTCTGTATAAAAAAACACTGGTCCTCACACAGGTCTGTGTGAGTTTGTGTAGGGAGTGTGTTTTTTATTAACACCTTTATTTAACCAGAAAGCTTGTGAATCTCGTAAATCAGCTGAATTTACTCGGTCTCAGTCGTAGAGTCACTGTTGAATCTGTTGGTGTGTCACTATGCAGCTTTCAGGTCACTGGCACGGCACTTCAGGTTCAGAACACAATGTCAAAGACTTGTCATGGGCCAGATACAATTTTCTCAGAATAGTGAGTTGTAACTAGGGATGCTGAGGGAAACAAACCTTGATTTTCTCAGCTCATTGAATTTTGCTTCAGGGTGATGATTTTGTGCCAGCATATATTAAATTGCTGTAGATTTAAAGGAATGTGAAGAAAGTATGTCTAAGTAAGACCAGGAAATATCAACCTAAAAGAGCTGTTTAAAAACATGTGTAGGTATCCTGTGAAAGTGTAGTACCAAGGGACACCTCTGAGATCCAACCTGAATTTGGCTATTGGGAACTGTTGTCTTGGCTTTGGTTTTTACTCTCTGGTAGTTGGTATTTATCTGTGAGCTAACTTGACCAAGGCACAGGTGATAAAATGTACCATTGCTTACATATGTTGTGAATATTATGTTAATGGTTTCTTAGAAGTACTTTATGTGAAAAACGGGAAAGTCCACTTTTCAAGAGTATTTCAGGAGATACTTTGGAGAATTTTGACTTAGACTTGTGAAAACAAACATAACTTAAACTAGCGATAACAAACATAAGTCAGAAGTGCATTTAATTAGTTATAAACTTAGAAATATGCAGTTATACATAGATTTGACTTGTTTTTTTAAATAGTTTTATCAGGCATTGTTTTTCCTTTTCTCTTCTCCTCTCTTTTCTCCCCTCTTCTCCTCTCTTTTCTCCCTTCTTCTCTCTTTTCAGCAGGTTAAGTAAATTAAAAATGCCTGGCCACACCTTCAAATCTAAGTAACCTTTTCAGTCACACTATTGAGATAATAAAATTTTAATGTTATGTGAGAGAAAGCACATAAAACACTTTCTGTAAACTTTCTGAGTCCTCTGTAATAAAGCTCAGCTGTGCCTTCAGCTGAAACAAAACACCTTAGATTCTTTCCCTGAAATGTAACTGAAGACTAAGCTAAGGTTTGCCCTGTTACCAGCAGTCCTTCATGTGATGTACAGTGACATCTTTAAAGTACTGTAACTTGACTGCATCAACATCCAAAGAGAAATCTGTAGGAGGTACCTCAGCCGAGAGCTGAAGTTCTTCAGAGCAGTAGTTTGTTTCAAGTTATACATTAATAAAAGATAACCAGGCTTTCTGTATTCCATTAAATCTTAGAACATATTTAGGAATAGTTTCATATGAATAACTTATTTGGGAGATTTTTTTGTTTTATGTTCCTCTAGATGAATGCAAGTTGATAAGGTGATCTATTTTACTTGTACTTCAGTCTGTGTGCAGTTGATGAATTTGAAGAGCTTTGTCCCTTTAAAGTCACTGAACAATATTCATGGGTACTTTTTGTTTGCTTTGATTTTATTTTTTAAGAAAAGGATGAAGAAACAAAAGCACTCGAAGCACTTCTTTCTAATGTAGCCAAGCCAGTGGTAAGTAAATAAAGCTTTTCATAAAATCAGAATGTATCTGTTGCTAGTTTATGTAGTTACGCCTCCTTTTCTCTGCCCAAGTTTAAAGGGTCTTTAACTTCCCACACTGAAGAAAACTTGCTTAACTTCCTGTTACTGAAATGTAAATGACTGAAGTAATTTCTAGTATATTAACATTTATGAAACTAAGATTGTCTTGATACTTATTTTGTGAAATTTACCTTCTTGACCACTCTAGGAAATCTCAGTATTAACCGAATTATAAAAAATATACATAGAAAGAACTTGTAATGTTGCCAGTAAGATAATGATGATGCTCAATGTTGTCTTCTACACACACACACTCTTCACGTAACTGTTAAAGAGGAGAAAACTTTTATGGAAGGAAAGACAGAGAAAAGAAGATGAAGAAGGAAAAAGAATCTGATTATGATAATCAGACTGCCAACATTGCCATTCATCAGCTGCATACCTTCCCCTCCCAGACAACCTGGCCCTGGTGTTAGTGCCCCAGTCTTGATGGTTCTTTCCTGTGTTGTTTTAAAGCCTGGTGAGGAAATGTTGAGAGAGCTGGGACTATTTAGCCTGGAAAAGAGAAGACTCAGGGGGAATCTTACCAGTGTACATAGATATCTGCAGGGCAAGTGCACACAGAATGGAGCTAGGCTGTTTTCAGTGTGCCCAGAGTCAGGACCAGAGACAATGGGCACAAACTGAAACTCAGGACATCAGGAAACACAGTTTTACTGTGAGGAGCCCTGGCACAGGTTTCCCAGAGAGTCTGTGGAAGACCCCCTCTTTGGCAATATTGAAAAGCTGTCTGGACATGGTTCTGGGCAGCTGGCTTTAGGTGACCCTGCTTGAGCCAAGGGGGTTTGACCAGATGACCTCCAAAGGTCCCTTTCAACCTCAGTCATTCTGTGATTTTTATAATGCTCCACGGGCTCAGCAGAGATTGTAATTACAGAGGAAGTTGTAAGGGCTTGGCATCCTGTTGTGTCCCAGCATCAGAATGGGTTAATGTACCTTCAGTGCCCCTGTGTCTTTGGTGGCTAAGCAGCTTGGAGCTGGATGGTGTCTGAATCAAGTCCTATAAGAAAGGGTTGAGAGAGCCGAGATGAAGAAATGGAGAGGGGTTAGCTGATCCTAGCTGTTGCTGCTGTGTAGATAGTAGCTGGGTCAGTTAAGTTCAGTAGCCCTTAACAGGATGACCTTGGCAATTGGAGCTAGTGGAGGGGCAATAAAAGAATTTTTTGAAAAGAAATTGGAACTGAAAAGAAAGCTTAGGGAGACTACGGCATGGGGGAGAAATGAAGTGAGAGGAGAAGAGACAGCTCTGACAAGGAGCACAGGTCCAAAGGACAATCAAGACTTGAAGGATCCTAAAATAGATGAGGAGTCTAAGATGAGAAGATGAGACCAGAGACAAATAGAATAGTAGGTGTGAACTATTGGAAGAACAAGATGGAGAGCAAATAGCTTTTCTATTTGTTATTTTTACACCTAACTGATAATGAAAGGGTCACGAGAGTCTGAACATCTTGTTAGTGAGACTGAGAGTGGTGGGAACAGTGAGCGGTAGTCACAGGAGACTGAAACTGCCTGAGAAAATAAAGATTTGGTGAAACAAGGATACCAGAACTTCACTATGAGACTAAAGGGCTGAAGTCTGGGGTGGAGTAAACAAGTAGTACAGACTGGAGTGAAGAACTGTTGATTAGGACCAGACTTAGAGAAGATGAAGAAGTGTCAGAAGAGGTTATGCCTGTAAGAAATGAACGTAAGTCTACATCTGATAGCACTGATTTTTATCCAGGACCTGGAATGTAATCCAGCTTTCCCACATCTCATCTTTCTTCTGATAGCAAGTACCTGCAGAGTCTTAGCAGCAGAGGCTTTGTTTTGCTGCCTGTTGTTTCACTGCCCAGCTATGCTTCTCATCTTTACATAGATGTTGGCAAACACCTATTGCTATCAGTCTGTCAGATCAAGCAGTAGAGACTTATGCATCATCCTACAGTGAGCCTTAAATTCTAGAAAGAACTCAAGGGAGTCATTTGCTATTAAATATATATATATATTAAAAATAGAAATAATGTGTACGCACGCGTATTCTAGGAAGATGAGCATCAAAATACTGCAAGAAGAATTCTATCTCAAAGTGAAGCAGGAAAGATTTTGTCCTGATGCTGGTCTATTGTGTTCAAGATTACAATCGCCCTTTTTTTTTTTTTCCTTTTTCCTTAGCACAGCAACACACTGTTCTTTCTGTATGGTCCCTGCCATTCAGTGTACAAAGCATACCTGCTTTTGGAATGGATCAGGGCTGTGTAGCTAAAGGGACTGATGTCTTTGACCCCTTTTGACTCCGAGTCATGAGAATCTGAGAATCTGTCCCAGCAAGGGAGCATGTGCCTACATTCACTACATACTGCATCAGAACGGATGCAGAAACAAATTTTGTTGCTTGGTTAGCTTGCTGCAGGATAATGCTGTCACTGGAGCATGCTGGACAACAGCATTCTCAGTGGCCCTCAGATCATGAGTGCTGGCTCTGCCTTTCTTCAGTTCATGAGATGTAGATGATCCTTTCTATCCTGACTGGAGGTACAGGAACCAGTTCTCTAGAAGATGGATGCACAGTCCTCTGCCATTGGTCATGGCATACAAGGTGCCATCCAAGTCTGGGGTGTCACCAGAGGCTGCACTGCCAAGAGGAATGACAACACTCAGCTTCCTGGGGTGATCAGAATTGAGACTCTGAGTGTGATCCACAGGTGGTGTCTTTTGCTAGGTTGCTAATGACATGAAAAAGCAATGGTGTGGCAGTACCGTCTTGTTTTCTTTCACTTCCTTTCACCCTCAACACTCAACCGTCCGTGCCTTCTACGCAAGGACGCTATTTCCCCTCCCCACCATGTCCTTACTTGAATCGTTGCGTATACTTGTGTGCCTGTAAGTCATCTCTTTTCAGACCTCAGAACATATCACAGAATCACAGGTTTAGGCAGACTAGACTGTGTACACACGGCAAAAAGCCAGATTCCCAGCACTTGGAGAGGCTTATGCTTTGCGAAGGAAACAAGCTGATGTTGCAGCTTGGGGGAGTGTAACATGATAAGAGAGGGAGGCTGTGTTACCTATATAGGCCTTGCAGGATCAGAAGCAATCTTCCCACAGTTTCTCCAAGGAAACACTTTTCTCATGGTACCACAAGTGAACCAGGAGATAGGGTTTTTTTCACACCTTCTGTTTGTAGTTCTCATCAGAAATATTCCTGCAGGTTTTTGATTAGTGTCTTGCTTGAGGCACTCGCTGTGGGAATTGTGCCATGATGCTGCTCTTGATGAATCATCAACACCGTGTTCCCTGGTTGAACTTCAGTGCTGGCACAGGCAGTACAAGATGCTGGCTGTGCTTGTGGCCATATGATCTGATGATGATACAGGTGCTGTCCAGTAACGCATCCATTGCACGATATCCTGCTCCAGAAAGGCCAGAGTAGTGCTGAAGGCCATGACCTGTCCTAGGCTGTCTCATGTCTTAATGCCCAGGCCCAAGACATGCACATCTGAATCAGCTGGCGGGCTCCATGGTGTGCTGTCATTCATGCATCTCTTTCTGCACAGCATGGGGCACATCAGTTTTGTTGCCTCCAGACTCCTGCTAAGTGTTTTTATGAACGTTTTATCATTTACTTAAACTTTTCCCTGTATGGATTCCTAGTCCTTTCATACATGGCAATGTTGGTAATGTGTTAATGTCACCAAATAACACTTCTACTTAGGGAAGTCTTCGATTTTGTATAGCCAGATGTAAGTTGGAGTGGTTCTGCAGGTTGCACCATGCTTGAGTCCTCAGCGTTTGATCAGTCTGCCCTAGCTGTCACATCCATTAACCAAATAGCAAAGCATGCAGAAGAAAAGACAAGAGGACCTGAAAAGGCAAAAGAGTGGAGCAGAAGGCTGAGTATTTAATAAGGAGAGACAAGAGGAGTTGAGAATTTGAGGGTTGGTTATATAGTGTGTAAATCCCTTGAGAAGGTATCATGTTTTGTGGTTCATGCATGTTCTCAGTATACTTGCAGGCTTTTAGGACGTGATGTACCAAGCTCACCATTTAAGTCTGAATTCGATCCAGTTTGCACATGGTAAAATTGCTCTTTTGACCCAAATCCCATGTGTTAATGAGGAGGTTCACTTCTGTGAGCTAGACTGCTAATGAAGATGTGCCCACCTCTTAGTTTCTTCTGTGCTGGGGCCTGACTCAAGTGCTTTCTGAGCACACACAGTGCTCAGAGCTGCAACCAAAACCCATTGCAACTGCTTGAATAAGCACACAAAGTAATAAGTAATGCCAAGTTTTCTGAAAAAGCCACTCCTGAGTGTCTCAGGGCACCTAAGAATAGTGGATTCTTCTGATCTTAATCTTTGTTCTTCAGAAACACTTTTTTCCTCCTTGTATCACAGAGATTTTTTTTTTTGAAAATATGCTACTGTGTCGTGCTTGAGAACTGACAGGAATTTCTGAAACTTCAGTAATTCATTTGTATAATAGAGCTCTGGCTGGTATTCAGAAAGTCAAGTGTTGAGATATTATTGAACATCAAGGACAATATTGAATAATTGCTTCTTAGTGAAGCAGTCAGTTGTTACTGTCATAAGCTTACATCACATGAAGCTGGAGTTTTGTGTTGGAATATTGTATGCTGAGGTAATCTAAGACTGCCATGGTGCGTATATGTAACAGAGAAGGGGTTTTTGCAGGAAATCTTCATTTTAGCAATATTTTCATACTTTGCTTTTATCCCTAATTAATAGTCTTGTGAGGAGGAATATAGCTGGACCTAGACTTGTCTTTAGACATCATTTTCTTACCTGGAGACTGAATCTGAAAAGCAGTACTAAATGTTTTATAAATGAGTTGAAAAGGACTTAAATTACATTCTCTGATTCTCTCTTGTCAGTGCTTGCAGCTGTGTTTTTTAAAGATTTTTTGACAAGTGACAGTGATTGAAAATACTCACATACCTATCTGTGAATTTACTAAAAAGCTCCAGAAGTTACAAAATATGTAACATCATACACAGTGTAGGTCCAGAAGAAAAGCCTTGATGTTACTCAGTCCCACTCCTACTGCTTCTCTTCGTTTTGTCTGGTTACTGACGCCTCAGTGCACAAGCTGTATCTTCAGGGACATCATCCCCATTCTCTGGGGTTGCAGAAACAAAGAAGGTAGCAGCTTCAGGGAGGTTCAGCTATAGAAGGGACAGAGTTGGAAAAAATTTCCAAAATTTATCCCTGCCAGAGAGTTAAATGTTGTACCTCTTGTTCTGTTCCTTCTGCCCTTGAGCACCTTCTGGTAGCGTCTCAGGTACCTGCCTTTGTAACGCTTGTTCCCTAAGTCGTTCACTCCCCAGTGCTCGTCAGCGGGGCTTATCAGTCCAGGCTTGGCTTCTTGCTCTTCCTTGGTTTGATGTGAGTGTGCATCTCTGATGGGGAGCCAGGAGTTAAACCTGACTGCCTGTTTTATTGCAGACTGCACAGTTTCTCTGGGCAAAATCTACTGGGCCCAGTTACATTGCTGCAGGTTGTAAATTTTCTAGTCCAGCCACAGGGCTACATGGGATGGATATGGATTTCTGCCTCATTGCAAACGCAGGATGGAAATAACTGTTATATGATTATTTCTTTCCTTCGTGTTTTACAGTTTTAACTTCTACATCTACTGACTTCGAGATTTCCTGATAGATTTTTATTTATACATATTTATTCTTCTTGTCTTTAATCCTGTTACCTTTTCTTGTTTCATTGACTCTCTTTAACTTCTCTTGTAAATTCTGGTCAATTGTAGCTTATTTGCTAACGTATTATTCCTTTTCCTCATATGCATTTATGTGTATGTATAGAGAATTTATATCTTTTTCTAGATTACAGCTTTTTGTGCACCATAAGGGTGTCCTTGATGCGTCTGTGAATATTTTTCACTTTGCATTTCTGAGTATGTTAAATTTCACTGATACTTGGTTTTTAAAAAGCTTTGGCAAATTGACCACAGCAAAGCTTCAGCTTTTCATAGTATTCTTCAGTCACATACTCTGTTTACACAAAGTAAAACAACCAGAACAACCTACATAGTTACTGGTTTTAGCTTGGTACATAATACTGCTTCATTGTGTTATGGTTACTGTGTTAACAGTTGTCATCTATTATTTTAGAAGCCTTATGGAAGGTTTACATGAGTTGACCAACAGACATTGCCCATGGGGGATAACTTGGGATAACAATTTTTCATCCAGTCAGAGACTTAAAGAACATTTCACCCTGTTCTCTGTTTACACTTGCTGGTCTGTTATGATTTCCACTAATACTCTGGGTTTAATTTTACTAGTCGGAGTCCTACAAGTTGTCTGTTACTCTGTAGTCTGTAACGTTGTCTTTGATCTACCTCGCGCTCCTCCTGCTCTCTCTGTACTGAACAGTTGAAACCTCTAATCTTTTAATGTTCCAGTAAGATGTAATGCCACCTTCCACTCACACCAACCGCATTACTTCTCTGGTGTAAAAGAAGATATACAGACTAAGATGTATGAACAGAAATGTAACCTGTCAAGAGTATAAGGCAGTTTGGCATTAGTAAAGTGTTACATGTCATGTTGTTATGTGCAGTTCTGGGCAAAGCACTAAAGATAGTGAAACAGGGAGATCAGGAGAAGAGTGAAAATGATCAGAGATGTAGATAAGCGAGGTGAGACACAGATGCTGACGGTCTTCAGATATATAAAAAACAACTGCAGAAAGGAAGGAAAGATCTAATGTTAGTGTCAGTGTAGTTTGTGACCGCATCAAGATTATAGTGAAGTTTCTCTTACCAGACTTTGAACTGTGTTTCCAAGAGCTTCAGTGGGTAATCTTGTTAGTGTTTGATCCCTTTCAAGATGTGATGTACAGTCCTGTTAGGATGTAAGGGCTTAGTGACATTATTCTCAAGACACTGAGGCTCATCTTGTTTGACTTTTCCTCCTTTCTGTTCGTCTGTTATCAGTAAGTCATCTCCTCTATGCTTTGTTCTTGAAGTTTTGACCCATTCAGGTTTTTAGTTCAGGAGATTATAGCAGTTTAAGGGCACCAGCTGTGAAGATAGCATTTTGATTCTGATACCCTGGTAATAGATTTTCAAAAGCAATTATTTCTAAAATATGTATTTATTACAGTCATATTGTAAAATGAGTCATTTCATATAATGAAATGTGGTTTCAATTCTCTTGTGAAATGATTGGAAATAGTAAGCAGGTGCAACGTATAAACCACAATAGCAGACGTGCAATACTAATAAATACCCACAAATTTTTAGACTTCCTGCTATAATAGATCCTAAAGATTTGTGATCACATGCACTCACCTACTACCTAGGAGCATCCCCAGCCCCTTTTAGTGTATGTGAGTTTCAAGCAGCACCCACTCTTCTGAGAAGTGGGTGCATCTAACTGCACATCTCCTTGGGGAGATGTGGGTGCTTTCGTTTTGCACGTAACTGTGTTACTCACCAAAATCTGTTCTTCCCTGCAATCCGCTAATCCACAGGCCACTGAGAAAGTTCCCCACTGGGTCACATAGCCCACCTGAGCTGTGGGTCCCTGCCTGCTGCACCCCAGACAGCTGTCATACCAGCTGGGGTGCAGTCACTCACAGCATCCATCAGGCCTGGATGGAGGCAGCAATGGCAGCAGGGAAATTTCTCGCACCATCAGGCCATGTTTTGATCATCACTCTGTTGCACTCCAGCATCTTTTATCTCTGTTACAAATTTTCATGCTGCTTTTATACTTCTGAAGCTGATTCCGTCTTAGTTTCAGAAGTCTCTTTATGATTCCTTGGTTACCATTTAATCCACCAGAGGGTCACTGCCTCTAGCACAATGAGTCTGCTGGGGCAGATGCTTCTCAGGCAGCTGTAGATGTTGCATTGACACAAACTGTTTATGTTCATATTTCTTTCACACCAACTGTTGTTATCTGGGCCTTTCTGCAGGCAAGCACCACCACAGAAATTCTTCAGGATGTTGCCTGTATGTATCTATATATATAGAGACAGAGATACAGATGTGTACAGATGGATGTATGTATATGTACATGGACCTTGTGAGGATGCCTTCATCTCAGTCACCCAAGCTCAAAGTACATTATAAGATATGTTCTGATATTCTGTTTGGTAACAGTGTACTAGATTAGAGCCTCAGGTAGTTGTATCCCTTTAATATCCTGATTTAGAAAAAAAATAAATTTGCTGGGGTAATTAACCAAATAGGTTCTAATGTAATTGGAGAGTCTACTTGTTGCAGAAATAATTAAATGCACAAAGAAAAGTTTCTTTTTGTACCTGTTACAGTAATGTCAGTCATTCTTGAGAAATTCCTGAGCTTCTGTGTATCTCCTATGAAAACTGAGTGGGCAAGAAGATGTTAAAAAAGACACAGTGCCAAAGAAAAAAGGCCTGAGACATTTCCATTTAAGGAAATTACTGATTTCACAATATATGCTTCCCATCACTTCTGCTTGACAAAACGTTCATTTTTATGTAGCCCACTAGGTGGCATTCCTTACTTAGAAGTTTCTTATGCAGGCAGCCCTGTTACCTAGGATTGCTGTTTTCTCAGAACATTTCTTACATTCCCAGCTTGTTTTCATCTGTAAAAACTAATTAGTGTACTGTTATATCAGTATAAATACTCTGATGTGCTAACGATGTATGATTTTCTTCTCTTTTATTTGATCCTACATGGAAAAGCAGCATTTATGTACAATGTCATTTAAATGACAGAGGTCTCAAAAATTGTGTTTCTACAGGTATCAGACATTCAGGCAAGAGCAGCACTGCTTACATGGTCCCCTCCATCCAGTGATACCAGAGAAGACACTGACAAGAGTGACCCACCAGAGATTTATACTTACGAAGTGATGATTTCAAATACCGGAAAAGATGGAAAGTACAAAACTGTATATGTGTAGGTTTTCATTATTTGTATTTAATTACTGTTGCATTGAATTATGTGGCTTAAAACATCGTTTAAAATCTGCACGTTGTCTGGAGTTTTAAATAATTAGCAGTTCTGTGCAGCTTCTCTCTTGAAACAAACTTCTTCTTTTCAGTAGAATTGGTTTTGGTTTATTACTGAAGTCTCTACTGTCAATTAGAACTTAAAGACTTTGTTGTTAACAGTTGAAAGCATGTTTTAATAGCACTAGAAACTATGAACTCTCAAGTAGTGAGAAATACAAATTATATTTGTAGTTATTTACTTCAGCACATGCTGCTTCTCCTGGTAAGGTTATACCTCCCTCCCCTGAAAATGCCCTTGGTAAGAGGCAGTCTTACGATATGAAATAAAGTAAGTAGATTCAAACAGAGCACAACTCTGACAGCAGCAAAACAAACTCTTCACTTGTGTCCTTTATAACAGAATGGTTTTCAATCCATTGATTGCAACTTGGAGAAATATAACAGTGAAACTTCCTCTTCAGAGGTAGAGCTCCCCAATAATTACAAATCTTTGTATTCAGCTAGCTTCTCTTCGTCACCTTCCATGGATTTCTTAGGAGCAGTAAATGGATCACAAGCTGGATATCCCTGTTCTGGAAGCTAAAGAAATAGCTTTGCTAACATAAACTGATGTCAGTAGAAGCAGACTAACAGGTGTTACTGAGTTGCCTTTTCTGTTTACTGCGCTCTAACAAGTCGGTATATACAGTCATTTACCGTTTTAGGTAGTTGTTCTTGCAAAGCTGAACAGAGCCCCAGTACTTCACTGTTTTTTGTGTAATAAAATACATGCATACATGTGCAGCTGATCTTACTGAGTCAGGAGGAAAATAATTATTCTTTAAAAAAACAAACAGACAAACAAACAAACCCACCAAAAACCCCAAGCAAACAGAACAAGAAAAAAAAAAACCCACCAGGGCAAAACAACAGGAATCAATTGTTAGAAGCCCCTAAAATTCAACAGAAACAAACCATTGGCAGATACATTTCCTAGAAGGACTGTCAGGTAGATGAGTTAGATGATTGTGTCTTTTTATAAATGTGTGGGATTCTGAAGTAGTTCCTTAAGCAAAATCATGTCTCTTTGCAGTGGAGAAGAAAATAAAGTTACTGTGAATGATCTCAGGCCAGCAACTGATTACCATGCAAAGTGAGTATCTCCTCTATTCATTAAATTCAGTGAAAAAGTTTTAACAGTTTCATTGTATTTGTGTATTTGCATGAGTCTTCAGATTCTTTACCACATCTCACCCTTCTTTGAGTCACAAATCAACATCTATATCAGTTACTATGTCTACAACAGATAATGATCCTGCGAGATATTGCCATTATTTCTTAACCAAAGTACAGCAAATAGCAGATGTCTCACAACTACATTTGAAATGTAAAAGCCGACTGATGGTAATGATGTGCATCCAAAGTAAAGGACTCTCTTCTTTTGCATTGTTTCTGTTGACCAAGATGCTTCCACCAGTTATAAAAAAATAACTGACATTTTGATAATGATATAACAAGGCAATAACTTAATTCTGAATACTTAATTTTCTTTGGAAACTGTATGTACAGATTGTTAAGCGAAATGTTACTGGCTCTTTTCCACTTTAGAGTCCAGGTAGAATGCAACTGTGTAAAGGGGAGCCCTTCAGAAGCAGAGAGTTTTACCACAACGAGTTGTGAACCTGATACTCCGAATCTGCCCAGGATAACTAATCGGACCAAAAATTCTCTTACTCTACAATGGAAGGTAATACTTGTTTTGAAATTTTTTAAATGAAAATATTTTAAACTCTTCAGAATTGTTTCAGATTTGTCAGTAACATGTCATTTCATTTAAATGGAAAATTTTTGTCAAACATACTATTTTCAGTCACAGTTCTGTGACTGAATAGTACAGTATATATACTGGATTAAATGTGGACTTCAGTAAAAAGAGAGATTCCCAGGAAAGTATAGGAGCCATTGTAGATAAAGTCACTGAGCTCTAATGAGCGGTGCTGGTTTGAGTTCCAGTCCCTTACTGTACTGTGGAACCAGTTTCATTCTGTGTACTGAACATCGGTTTATTTGTGCAAAGCAAATGAAGGGGTCTGGAAAGACAGAGATATAAGCAGACGTGCAATCTAGCTGTTCAGAAAAATTCTGTAGCATTTTACATTGCTGCCAGAATAATTTTCAAAGTCTAAATTACAAAACAAAACCAAAAACATGATACGAGCATTCATTGGATGGAGACTGAACTAGGACTGTCTTGGCAAGTGAAACAGTCATATAAGGGGAGCATATTTTGCCCTTCACTGGCCTTGACATGGTTTGACCCATACATGCATTTTTCCCTGAAGTTTTCTTGTAACCAGTTAGAGGTCTAATTTTCTTCTTTTCCTGTTGCAGGCATCTTGTGATAATGGTTCTAAAATCCACAGTTACCTTTTAGAATGGGATGAAGTAAGCAATTTATTTTATTTTTGTGGATTTTTTTTAAAGTAACACTGCACATAATGGTTTATGAAAATGATTACTTCTGTCTAGGGGCATGTGAGAAATATGTAATTCCTGAAGCAATTACGAAAACATGGTTATTGCCCAGATTTTTTCTTTATGCACGTTAAACAACAGGAAATTCCTAATTGTGTGATTCTGCCACTCTTAATAGTGCTTTTTTCACCTGTAGTCCAATACTTCCCTCAAGAGCTGACACTGAAGGATCATCTTCCTGTAACAGCCTTTCTTTTATACAAAAGGGGTGGATCTGCTATGCCCCTGCAGTCATCTTCCACTCCCTACCTGGACAGCTGTCCTGAGATGGCAGAGCTGCAGAAGCTTCATGGCTTTTTCCTTCCAAGCCTGTGGAGCTGGGAAATGGAAAGGAAGGAAAAAAAAAATACGTAATTCAATATATATGCAAAGTTGTATATATAATAGTACATACTAAATATATATACTGCTACCTCACTGTATGGGAGATTCTGGAGTTATGTTTAATCTGGAAGAACAAGTTTACCTTACATTTGTGTACTAATTTAACTGATGGACACATAAATAATAAGGTGAATAATGTGATCAAATTAATTTCTTTTTAGGGAAAAGGAAATGGAGAGTTTTGCCAGTGTTATTATGGCCAACAGAAGCAGTATAGAATTACTAGACTATCACCAGCAATGGGGTACACCTTTAGGCTAGCAGCCAAAAATGACATGGGAATGAGGTAACTGCTACTATTATATACATAAATACAGAATGTGTATGATTGCATGTGTGTACTTGTTTAGGAAAAACACGATGGCATTAAAAGAAACCAGAATGAAATGGAATATAGAATATAGAGTAATTCAGTTGGAAGGGATCTACAATGGTCATCTAGTCCAACCGCGCAGTTAATTCAGAGTATCTTATGTCCTCTTAGAAGCAGATAGTACGGCTACTTCTACCAGAGTCAGCCTCATTTCCTGAACAGCACACTCAGACTTTTGTACGTGATGTCCCTAGAATGGGGAGCATGAGTGTGGCAGAGAAAAACTGGCTGCTCTCACATGAAATCAACTCAGGCTGTGCTAGTTTTTAGCTTCGGTCTTTGTAGACCTACACTGACTGCTGAATTTGCTGCCTTGGACGTGTTTTCTACTGCTTGTACTAGTAATAGATGTTTGGGCTAAGCACTACCTTGTAGAGACTCACTCGTTCAGTGCAGTTGTGGCGTTTGTGTCTGATGTAATAACCACTTCTACTAAAATTCTGGGCGTCTTGCTAAAGGATACGCAACTCGGCCAAAGCACCAGAATTGAATAGTTTAGACACTACACTGCTTGTGTTCCTGCTGTGCTGACCAGAGCAGTACCTCTTGCTCTCTGCTGTGCTCTCTGCTGCTTTTGGTTCCTGGAAGATTTGACATGGTGCTAAATCTAAAGTAGTTCCTGAAGCTGGTGTAGCAATTTTCCAGGGCTTATCAAGCCACCTTAAATTTAGAGTGTTAGTGATGACAGTGTAAAGAGGTGTTGGTAATTCTGCTGCAGCAGGAGGTAAGTCTGGCAGAACCCCCGCTGCCACCTGTAAGTGTATCCGTGTTGTGCTCTTTGCCATGTCCCATTACTCGGATATTTCCCTTTATCTAAGGTGTCTGTTAGTCTCCTGTTACCCTGGGAAGTGGGCAGAACATCACTGAATTCTTTTGAAGCTCTAGAGCTTATTATGAATGCTTAGGATATGTGGTTCTTACCTTCAATTGCTATTTTTTGGAAGTGATAGAGCACCAAAATTTGTTTTTAATGACCAGCTTCTGACTTCAGTAGAGAATATCTGTTAGAACTTGAAAAATACCTCAAAATTACTGGTTCTTCATGTTAGGCTTGCACTACTGGGTGCATTTAGTTCTTGGGAATGCTTCTTGGTCTTCAGGCAACGCGAATAAATGTGGCTAATAGTCACATTACCAGGGCTCAGCGTTTCCAGAGCACACTGCCAGTGACCATACTACCTAGTAGCACTTGGACCTTGAGGTCCTATGTGGTGTAAAACCAGAGCTTCTCTAGCTATCAGCATAAAATTGCTATTTTACATTTGGTTTTCTAATTCAGTGTTTGAAATATTATCAGCTTTGTGCTGCAGCTCACCAAAGTGGTGTTTTTATAGCATGAAATAGAGGATGTGTGTTGTGTGTCCTGCAGCAGGCACAAGAGGTTCTTGAGGGAATGATGCCTGCTTGGACAGTGAAGGATGGCATAAGGAATAGGGAGCCAGACCTGGGGCTGTAATTCATGCTGGGCAGGGGAAATCTTCTGCAGACTCTTGAGTATGTGAAAACTACAGATGCCTCAGATCTCCTGAGGCATCTGTTGGGAGGCTTTGGAGAGTATTCTGGAAATGTGTTGCATATTGTGCCTGTTCCTGTGTCTTTGCTTAATGCTTTGGACCACTGTCGGAAGACACCATGGTGGGCTAGAATGACTTTTAGTGTGCTCCAACACAGTCTTTGTTATGTTACTGCCTTCTGGATGATGTTTCTGGAATGAATTATTCTCTGAGTTGCTGCTGGACTTTGTCTTGATGAGATTTAGTTGGAACTGTTCAGAAAAATAAGGACAGGGAGTGAGCTGGCAGTTAAGCAGAGTCCAGTGCTCGGGTGCTCTTCCTGTTCCCCTTTTACGTCCGAGCGTAAATGTACCCTCCAGGAATACCAGCACACATTACAGATGCCTGCAGTGTAAGATGCTGATCAGTTAAGTACCATTCTTAAACTAATCATGCCAAATAGATTTTTAAATCAATATTTCATAGCCTTATAAAGATGCACTTTGTTGGTTTTATGGTATTATTTAATTAAGAAGTCTCTTCAAATAATACTTATTAGAGTAGAGTGCCTGATTATTCCATATGAAGAATGTTGAGAACATTAAGCATCTGGAGACAGAATTTTTTCTAAGTTATTTTACTGACAACAGATATTTTATTTTTGAGTTACTTGTATTTTTAAATTTAATTCTAACTACACACGAAACTGTAGCTAAATAAAACTGGAAAAATAAAATCTTTTTAAAAGATCGCATTATGGTACTTCTAAGCAAATTGAGTTATTCAAATGTGGGTATGACTGGAACTCTTTTAGTTGATTTCAGTGTATTTTGAAGTGGTTCAATCAAGTACAGAAATTAAATCTTTTTTAAGGTGTGGGGTTTTTTTACGTTATATCTGCTTGTAAGGTGACTCTTTCAATAATTTGTTGCGAATAGAGATGGGCTTAGCATTTGTCTAGCCTCTCTTCATGCTGTCTCCATCCTACCTACGTAATGTTGATTTTTTTATTATTTTTTTTTTTTAGTAAATATATTGTATGCACCACATCATCTCCATTTTAGGTATTTTTTTGCTTGTGACTTCTTGCAAGAAAAAAAATACTATTTCCCCCAAATTTAAGAAGTTTTCTCTTGCTTTGCACTTTTCTACTTCTTGCCTCACAACCTATTTCACAGTCTGCGTGTCCACATAGGCTATACGTCTGTGTTGGGAGACCCTTGATAAGGTGTTGTCTGTAAGATTTTATAAATTATTTTTTTTTTGTAACTACCAAAAAGACTTTAGAGCAGATTAAAATTTACAACTTGGTCATTATTATAACATGGGTTGGGTAAGAGAGAAAGTGAAGTAGAGGTATCTTTGTGTTGAGATTTTTCCGGAAAGTCAGGTTTTGGCACATGAGATATTTAACTGGTACTGTTGTTTAAGCCATACAGAGAATTTTGTTTTCAGGGCTTCCTGATGCTCACTTAGGTAATACTTAGCTTGTAGATTAAAATTACATCTTTGACATTGGTTTTATACAGTTAAAAAAATCTAGACTAGCTCTTAAGAAGAAGTATTTCTTCAAATCTGATGTAGAAGCAGCAAATCTCTAAATAAAAGCCAACTGAGAACAGATGAGTGGTTTTTTAGAGTCTGGCTGTATACATGTCAGACCATCTCTTCAAGCATAGAACCCATTTACTGACTTTACATCCCTCTGTTTCACAATAGGTTTTTTAATGTAACTTATTTGTGTTTTCACTTCAAGGCATATCTAAGCATCATCAGATAAGGATAACAACTGTGTTAGGAGATTCACTGCTGTACACTCTGCTTCATTTGTTCTGCAATAAGACTTCCATATTGGCAACTCTTAAAGTAACTTAACATTGAATGAGGCTATTCTATTACTTTCTGAATCACTAGAGAAACTGGTTCTTCACAACGTACTTGAAGCACATAATTGCTGGCTAGGAAGCAACATTGTTTTTGAGGTCTTCTCATATGCTCTTACGTCTTCATGTTTTCATTTTGAATAGGAAGGACACTGTGGTGCTAATACATTATTGCATATAGAGGTCTGCTGTTCTAGAATAATGACTTGTATGAAAAAACAAAATGTTTTGGTTAGCAAAAAAGGTTTTAAGTGTATCTACAAAGGAATCTTTCAATTATGAACATGTTAACCTTGTTCAAATGTTTTGTTACTGTCAAACTCATGGGCAAATTAAGTCATCTGCTTGTACCAGCTTGCAATTTCCAGTTGCACACATGTCCAAGAAACTGTTATAGCTGTGTTTAGTAAGAATTATGTTTTTCTTGATACTCATTATTGTGCCTAGTGAGTTTACATACTGTCTGTTTTAAACAGTGGTTTTAGTGAAGAAGTCCTGTATCATACCTCAGGCACTGCCCCAACCACACCAGCAAGTCCTTTGCTGATTAATGCTGGAGTCACTTGGTTATCCCTACAGTGGACAAAACCCTCAGGAACACCATCGGATGAAGGAATCTCATATATATTAGAGATGGAGGATGAGAACTCAGTAAGTTTAGAATACTTATTCTCGATAAGAAAAAAATACTATGTGTGTGTTTGATACACTATTGTATTAAGTTTAACAATGATTACTTTTGGTAGAATATTCTACAAGGAACTATATTTTCTGAAATTAAGCTAATGGTCTGTCATTGCTGTGACCAAGCCACATAGCTTTCTCTTTCTTCTTGTGACAGTAATCATTATGAGTATTATTAAGACCCAATCCAACAAAGACTTTTAAATTAACTTTTGATTTTGTGAATTTATGTGTGAAAGCTAAACCTTATAAGAGTGGGTTCAAAGTAATTGCATCATGATGTGTGGTCCCTCGAGGTGTCATTTCAGCCTGATCACCTTTGTTCTAAAATGGATCCTATGAAAGTGTTAGGTATAGTTTCTGTTGTTACTTTTGTTCTGTTTGTTACTTTATGTTTTTCTTTACCGCTTTTTTCTCCTCTTCTGGTTGAAGAATGGTAAATTAATTTTCCTCTCTCCAGCAAAAAAAATCTAATGTTTACACGTTGGAGTTACACTTACCACTTTGTCAGAGAAGCATAACAATTACAGTCTGAAACAGTAATTTATTTGTATAAAGTATGCTGTATGGTCTGGTCTGAAAATATGTTTCAAGTAATTCTGTTAAATTCTGCAGGGATACGGTTTCAAGCCAAAATATGATGGTGACGATCTTTCTTACATGGTGAAGAATTTGAGGCGTAGTACAAAATACAAATTTAGGGTAAGATTTTTTTTAATATATTTTGGGGGATTTTTTTGCACCAAAGTAGCTTGAGATTGACTCAGAAGCAGAGGAGGCTTTTTTTTAAGAAAAAACAAATTTGAAGCCAGTTTCATACAATTTCAGTCTCTTAAAACTATTGGCTGAACACTTGCTTCTACACTGAAGTAGTAAGAACCTCCCTCTGCAAGGGCATAACACAGTTGCAGGTATCTTGAAATTCTACTTGATAAATCAATGTTCTTAACAACTGGGTTTTTTATTTGGCTTCTGTGTTGCATATTAAGGTAATACTACATGAAGGTAGTTATGGGTTCTTTGATAGCCTCTAAACATCTGAAAGTGTTGGAGTGAGGAACAACTTCGGTCGAAAAAAACATTTGTCAGTGCTAGCATAGCTCTGAGTCCAAGTTAGTAAATCATGGATATTACCATGCTGCTGAGGCCATTCTAATAGGTCGTGAGAGCTGAACTTGTTAGTTCAGGATGAAGTCTGTCTTAACCATGAGCTTCTGGGTGTGACGAAAACCAAATAAGAAATATACCTGCTATGGAAAGGTGGCCAGATAGCCATTAAGGACTACAAGAGCCTTGCTGGGACATGTAGAGATGCAGTCAGGAAGGCTGAGGATCAGCTAGAACTGATGGCCAAAGATGTCAAGAACAACAAGAAAGGGTTCTTCAGGTACGTAAGCAGTAAGCGGAAACACAGGGAAGACTTACATCAGCCCATTGCTAAACAGGGCAGAGAAGCAAGTTACGACAATGCCAATAAGGCAGAGGTTCTCAATACCTTCTTTGCCTCTATCTCTACTGACATAGCTGTACCCCAGATCACAGGATGAAGTAGCTGTGAGCCACTGGTGGTAGAGCAAGGGCTGGGCTGTGGCCTCTTGCAAGGGCTCAACCCACATCAGTCTACAGGCCAGGACATAATCCACTCCAGAATGTTAAGAGAAGTGGCTGACATTGATGCAAGGCTGCTATCTGTAGTATTTGAAAAGTGGTGATCAGGGGATATTCCTCATGACTGGAAGAGGGCAAATGTCATGCCCATCTGCAAGCAGGGCCCAAAAGAGGACATGCCCATTTGTCTTACTTGAGTCCCCAGGAAAGTAATGGACCAAGTCCTCCCAGAAACTATTACAAGTCAAATGAAGCTGGTGATTGGGAAAAGCCAGCATGGATTTACCAAAGGCAAATCACACCTGACTGACCTGATCACCTTCTACAACAGAGGAACACTTTTCATTAGGCTGGGAAGAGCAGTGGGTGTTGTTTACCTGGACTTCAGCAAGGCATTCAACAATGTGTCCTACAGCCTTCTGGACAAACTGGCAAGTTACAGGCTGGATGAGTGGTCTGCAAGATGAGTGGCCAACAGACCACACTCAGAGGGTGGTGATCAGTGGTTTTTACTCAGGCTGGCAACCTGTCAGGAGTAGAATCCCCTAGAGATCGATACAGGACCCCACGCTGGACATATTCACAAATAATCTAAATGATGGAATTGAAAGCACCCTTGCCAAGTTCGCTGGTGACACCAAACTGAGTGGTGCGATGGACACATCACAAGGAAGAGCCATCTTACAGAGAGACCTGGACAGTCTGGAAGAGTGGGCTAGCAAGAACAGTAAGAAGTTTAACGCAGACAAGTGCAAAGTCCTGCACGTGGGTCAGAATAACCAAGGAGCACAATATAGGCTAGGAGCAGCCTTGCTGAAAGGGTCCTGGTGGACAAACTGACTATGAGCAGTGCAACACTGCAGCAGCAAAGGCAAATTGGGTTCTGGCCTGCACCCCCAGGGGCATTACTGGATAAGAGATGTGATCATCCTGCTGTATTTGGCTCTTGTCAGGCTGCACCTGCAGCACTGTGTCCAGTTCTGATCCCCACAGTTCAAAAAAGACAAAAACAGGCTGGAGAGGGTCTAAATGAGAGCCACAAAGATGATAGAACCTGCCCTATGAGGAAAGATTAAGGAATTAGATCTTTTCTACCTGGAGAAGAGAAGGCTCAGGGGAACCTCACCACACTTTGCTATTACTTAAAGGGCAGCTGCAAAGAGGAGAAAGGCTCTCTCTTCACAAGGAGTTACATGGAGAGGACAAGGGGCAGTAGGTGCAAGTTGCACTGGGAGAGGTTTCATCTTGGTATAAGAAATAAATTTCTCATAGTGAGGAGAATAATCACTGGAACAACATCCCCAAGGATGTGGTGGAGCCCCCATCGCTAGATGCTTTCAAGACACGACTGGACAGGATGTTAGATAATCTCATCTAGGCTCACTTTTCCTTGAAAGGTTGGACCAGATGATCTTTCAAGTCCCTTCCAAACTGGGCTGTTATAAGTCACTCTTGAACAGTTGCTTGGGTTTTTGAACAAGCCTAAAGGCATGTTGCTTTTTTACATCACTTAATATTTATATAATTTAAAATATACAGTGTGTTCCAAGGACTGTACCAGACTGAGACTGTTAACAGTGACACGTGAACTTAAACTGACAGTTACCTTGAAACTACCTTTTGCTGGACTTGATCACATTCTTCGTTTGAAAGTAATCCTACATGTTGATCATATGTATTATTGGTAAATACATAGTTAACTTAGAAGCATCCTAAGTTTCTCAATAAAATAAAACCCCAAAGTTTATACCATTAGCAAAACAGTAAACAGAAGTCTCTGTTCACTCATTCACAGGACACAAAGGAGAAACAAATGTTGTGTTAATCAGGTCTTTAATTTTTATTATACAGAGGAAAGACTTAATTAGTAGTAATATTCCTTAAGGCTTTTGAAAGAAGCTTTATAACCATTGGAAAACTCATTGTAATACGTAAATGCTAACTGTGCCTGTTTAACTTCATTTCTAAGGGCACAAAGACAACCAGATGATGGTTAATCTTGTAAACTGTATCGAGAGACTTAGTGTCTGAGAGACGTTAGCTCACATTTCCTTTTCTCAATCTGTACTAATGTTGCTGCTGTCATTTTGCTTCTGCTCATTTTTAAAACACACATAAAAGCCAAAAACCCCTTTTTTTTAGGTTTAATTTTTTGTTAGGAACAAATGAAAATATGTAGTAAACTAACTGCAGACACAACTTGGATGTATAGAATAGCAGCAGTTTGTTTTCCTAGGATCATATCAAAGTCTTTTTGGGAATCATCTGAGTCAAACTTGTGTAAAAAGCAGAGTAATTCAACCCTGTCCTAGCCCTGTTGAGCTCAGACTTCAGTAATTCCCACAAGGGAGATTCGACCACTTCTCTGGGCAGGCTGTTCTCTTGGTGATTCATTTCTTTTCTTACACCCAGCTAGAATTTTACCTAATACATTTTTTGCCCACTGTCTTTTGTCCTTTCATCGCAGATCCTGTTGAAGTCAGTGGTTTTGTTTCTTCTGTGACTACCGTTTAGGTATTGGAAAGCTGTGATTAGATCACCCCCAATGAAACTTCTTTTTTTCTTAGGCAGGATAAACCGAAGTTCTTCAATCTTTCTTCCTGTGTCAGGCTCTCCAACCCTCTAATCATCATGCTGGCCCTCTTCTGGAATCTGTCCATTTTCCCAGTGTCTCTCTTGAACTGGGAGGACCAAAACTGGACACAGTATTCCAGGCATGGCCTAGAAAGTGCTGAACAAAGTTGTGTAATCACATCCCTTGTTCTGCTGGCTAAATTCTTGCTGATGCAGCCCATGAAACAATTTGGCTTTGCTACTGCAAGGGCACTTTGTTGAATCATTTGGCTTGCTCTCCACCAGGATCCCAAGGGCCTTCTCAGCAGACCTGAGAGAAGCTGACTGTCCAGTCAGAGCCCAGACTGTACTGCTGCTAGGATTATTCCATCCCAGGTGCAAAACTTGACATTTAACTTTGTCTAAACTCACATGGTTCTTGTCAATGGAATCCTCCAGCCTGTCAAAGTCTGTCTGTATGGGGACTCTTTCTTCCAGCGTATCTCTCTCTCTGCTCCTAGTTTGGTCTCCCATGCAAATCTGGAGAGGATGCATTCACTTCTGTCATCCAGATTAGTTATAAAAATATCAAATAGTATCTGACATTGTTTTGGTTACTGAAGAAATCCACTGATGCGCAGCTACCAAATTTGCCTTTGAACCATTAACCCCACTGCCTGCTGAGTGTGGCATCCTGTGAGGTTTTCCACACCCATTTTGTGGTCCATCAGTCCTGTCTGTATCTTACCAGCTTGTCTACATGGATGCTGTGGGAGACCATGTCAAACTAAAATCAGGGTAGATGATGTCCACAGCTCTCCCCTCACCTATTGAGCAAGTTGTTTCACCGTGGAGGCACGTGTTGGTCGAACGTGTTTTACCCTTGATAAATCTAGTCACATTCGTGTGCCCATCAACAGCTTCCATAACAACTTTTGCCATAATTTCCTTTGGGACTGAAGCGTTTGTCACCTTTGCTGGTTTTAATACAACTTATCCATATAAGCACTTTTTAATCTCTGAATGTATGTCCTTAAGGTACCGTAATAACATGAGAGCACTATTTAATTAATCCCAATTATTCATTTTTTTCCAGCAGTTAGTAAAGCATCATTTTTGCTCTTCACTTAATTACACAAAAATATTTTTACCTCAGTGGGAAAGGAATTGCAATTAAAATTTTAATACTTCCAAGTTCTTTCAGTGGAAGTTTAAAAGTAGCCTCTTTGTAGTGTGTCATTTTTAATAATCTTTTGTTTCCATGCTTTTGTAAAGGTTTTTTTTTCCTCATGCATGTATTTCATTATCAATAAATTGCACAACTCCAATTAAAAAGAATAGTCCTTAGACCTGTCTAATTTCTGAGTATCTTAGATTGTTTTAAAAAAAAAAACAAGTTTTCAGATCCTTGACTTGAAATAAAGTGGCCTGAGCACCCACAGAGTCCATTAGGGTCACTGAGATTTGCATGTCCTGATTATCTTCCATGGTCAGGGAACGCTCAAGTGTCCTAAGTGGAAGGCTAACTTTATGCACCAGTGTTTGAAATTTGGGGGGTATGAAAGGTTATTCAATTTGTGAATTTATCTTTTTTTCATCTTCACAATTACTGGGGGGGGGTTAAGTATTTTCTTTTTCTGGCAATTTGCAGAATTTTTAATTTCAGTATAGTGATTGTCCAACTGTGGGACTAACGAAAATGTAAAATGAAGGTATGTCATAGCTTTAGTTCTTGCTATAATTTATTGTGTAGCTAAGTAGCTAAGCACACATACAAATTATTTTCATGTTACTATTCACAGCAAATAGCATAGCAGTAGCCAGCATGTTTGTTCTGGTTGTAATATTTTTTTAATGTATTTACAGGTCATTGCTTATAACTCAGAAGGGAAAAGCAGTCCAAGTGAGACAGTAGAGTACGTTACTTGTCCAGACAAGCCTGGAGTACCTTCAAAACCTGCAGTTAAAGGAAAAATTCACGCACAGAGTTTTAAAATAACCTGGGGTGAGATTGTTGTCCAGCTCTGTTTAGAGTACATCCTGTGTTT